TTGAAAGACCACCATTTCCTATTTGGGTGTTTTAAGAACTCTTGAACGGATATACATTTTATTAAAAAGCATAAGGTTTAGTGAGCTGAAACTCACTTTATCAGCTTCATTGAGAGCTTATGCCTTTTAATAGACTTCTTTAGTTGAAGAAGGGACTACCAGACTCCTGATTTTTTGCCGCCATAGGCTAACATGGCTCTCCTCCTACACTGAATCAATATAGTAATCTATTTCCATCTCTAGCAAGAGTTAGAAACTTATCTTCACTACATTCCACAAATGTAAGTCATGAAAATATTGCTTCAGACCGAAGCGTGTATTTCATTTTCTTTTCATTAAAGATAGATGAATTCTGCCTTTGTATTCTCTACTATCTTCGAATTTTTCTTTAGCATATCTAATTTCTTGTCATCCAAGGTGGACCATAAACTGGTTTCCTGTTTCTCATCTATTTTAAAGTGTCTTTTACTGTTGTTCTTAAAATTATTAGTTATATGACTCTCAAAGTCTCTTTGCATCTTTTATTTATTTATTTTTTTGCATTTCTTTAGTATAAACTTGTTTTTTTCCCCTTCTTATTTGGACAAAAGTGTCATATTTGCAGGAACCTAGCTTTCTTTCTACAACTTTTTAAACATATTTATTAATCAGATTTATGTCTTATGTGATTTATTATTTAAAGCTGATTATCAGCTCCTGCTATACTGTATATGTTAGCACAGCAGAAATACTAACTGAAAATCTGGTTGAGGTTCCTTCCGTCTAGCTCTTAGATTTTGCTAAACAAGTAGATTAAAATCCACAGCCTAGTGTTCTGTTTATCTGGAGACCTGATACTTCAGCAGTCCCACTAATTTAAATAATAGAGGGGGTGGGCAGGGACCTGCACAGCACTGAGCACCAATTAGTACATTGTAATGAATGAAGCCCATGTGAGACCCACCACTGAAAACTTATGAACAGGATAACAGATCCTTAAAGGGCAGAACTGAATTTAGCAGCAGAAACATCTGGAGTCAGTGTTTTATAAATATATATACAGAAATAAAGAAAGTAGAACTATTCAAGTCTTTCAATTATTGATAGGTCTTCCGATGGACTGATAGTACCAAGCATTTTGAGCAATAGAGAATGTTCCCATCCACATCTTAAATTTGGAAACTGAATTCATCATTTCAAAATCAATGGTGAAGTCACTGTTCCCACCTGCTTATGCTTCATGTTGAACTACGGGGGGAATCACTCTGCATCTGTCTTGAAGTATCATAAAAGTACTGTGGTGTCATTCAAAGGGATGTCTCATCTTTGTAATCAATCCTACGTCTCAAGACTATACATAAGACACTGTTTTTAAAACTGAGGTCAAGTAGGAGTTCATGTAGTCATTAGTTAGCAGGCATAATTTAAAATAAACAAAGAAGAGATTAGAAAAATTTGACCACTAGCTTACAGTATGAATATATTGTGGCACTCAGCTGCTGTATTCTGTACAAGATAAAATCAGTATGCAATGAAGTAGCCTATTGCTTGACTGAAAGTGAAGGGAATAGAAGTAAGCTGAAGATCACCTTGGAATTTCATGGGGATTCATGCTTCACACTAAGCCATAATAATGTTGTTTGGTTTTGGCAAGCCATAGCTTAGCACCATATGTAAGCCCAGTCAGTATGTCTGACTTTGTGCTTCAACATTTAACCACTATATTAGGCAGTATTCTAGGAAGAAGGTGCAGGCCTGTGTATGACATGAAAACATAGACAACCTTTTGTTCAGCTGAGAAGAAAATGAGCCCAATCAACAAGTATGAAGCAGGAAATGTCTTAGAACAAGAGTAAGCAGCATTTTTGTGGACAAGGCCATTGGTTGCAGGAGGTGTGAAGATGGTGATGATGATGATGATGATGATGATGATGATGATGATGATATTATATAAATTATACCTCCTCTTTTGGAATGGTTTATATTATGAGACCCACAAAGTCAATGGATGGAAGTATTATTTCTTTTCCATTTCTATATGTTTATTTATTTATTTATTTATTTATTTATCCAATTTATATTACCGCCCATCTCAATGAGTGACTCTGGGCAGCGAACAGAATTAAAATAGAAAAAAACCAAAGCAAACATTATACAAATTAAAATACAGGCAGCTGAGAAACAACAACAGCCCAATCGCTAACACAACCGAGAAGTGGGTCCCTGCAAACATTTGGAGCCCCAGGCCCAGGTACAGAACCAGCTCTTTAGGGCCTTACAAAAAGCCCATCCTGATCTCCAGAGGGAGAATGTACCATAAAGTGGGTGCTCCATCAGAAAAGGCACACCTTCTAGGCCCCACCAACCGTTCTTGAGGAGATCAATTTGTCAATCTTTTCTGCATGCCATGACATAGAGCAATCACTGTCTTCCACTTTGCATCTACAACCTACTTCCCTATCTCAAAAGACTTTGAGATCCAGCATAACTGGAATGGTTGGATGGAGAAAACGCATCAAGCGCTCACTTCTGATTAGCTAAATGTTTGTCTTCCCTGCCTTCAGTGAAAGGCTATGGTAAATCATCTCAAGTTCAGAAACCATAGTTCTCCTGGGGGGTGGGGGTGAGAGAAAAATCCCACCATTGGTCTATGATCTTAAACTTCACTGTAATTAACAACCCATGATAGTGTTTTGTATTTTACAAATAATCATAATTTATAGGAACTGATGCTATTGCTATGTTTTGATTGAGGCTAAAAAACAAACCAATGATTCCTATGTGCTACTTCATTTTACTTTGAGGATTTACCGAACAGGTGGTCCTCCAGAGGGTCACTATGTATATTTAGTATCTGAAACTTGAGCACGCCTAATCTGATTGGCTACCCCCAACCACATGATGATTTAGGAGCTGATGCATCAGACTAACACTGCTTTTGCCCAGCGTTTCTCAGGAGGGAGGACAGTCAGAGAGGCTTTGCTCCTAAGGAAATTTAATTAAATATAACTGGTAAGCTTGCTCCTTTTTCTTTTTTAAAAGAAAGACATTTTGGGGTTTGCTTTCTACCAAATTCATATTTGCCAAATTATTGTTTGTTTCTTTGCAGGCTTCATGGCCTGTGGGATTTTTACAATTTTACAAATGTTATCAAACTTTTTTTTCTTCAGCATCAAATTATTCCTGTTTGGGGAGAGATCAGTTCTGAGTTTGGTGAGGTTTTAAAGGCAGACGAGAGGTTGCCTCTGTCGCTTGCAAACTTTTTGCACATGGAGATCAATGGCTCCTTTGGCTGAGCAGCTCTTGAGTTCCTTTTCTCCTTTAGAACTTGTCCAATTCTGTTGGTAGAACAAACATTGTGTAATTTGATTTTATATTACCTTGATTGAACAGAATTGGCATTAGGAAGGGGCAGCATTTGAAGGGCCTATATTTAACCCACAGCACTGGAGTGCCACTTGCCTCAGAAGGAATGGCAGTTCAGCTAACTAGACAAAACCAGCCAATCACTCTGGGGTATTAGCTTACAGGGCAAATATCTTTGTACTAGGAAGCAGCTGTTCCAAGCCTTCATCTCCTTTCCTGCAGTAGAAAAGAGGGATTTGCAGTTTCTCACAGCAGGCTCATTCCAGTGCATTAATTCATTCCAGTGCATGAATTCATTCATTTCCTTTATGCCATCTCAGTGATAAAGGTTTTGATATTTTCTAGGACTGAAGTTGGAGAAATACGTCAGGCACCCAGAAGCGAACCAAAGGAGCATCCACACAGAGATCAATGGTGGGACGAGAGAAATTAACTTCATTAAGTTAAGGTCATCTGAACAATATTTGTGTGACTGACTGTTTGCTGCTGTTTACTGTTGTTTAAGACCCCAAAGTTATTAGTTTACATAGAGAAACATTTTATTAAGTTGGCTCAGAGTTATGTTACTCCAGGTAGGCTTGTAGCAGAATTTGAAAAATGGGGGAAAAAACAACTACATTTCTAGGTTAGGAAAGCTTTCATGGAGGTGACCAACAAGCTGTTTTTTTGGAGCTTGTGTAGCATGATTGAAATGGAGAATTCTCCTTTTTTTACCCCTGCCATAGCCAGCATACCTCATTGCAATACTATTGTTCTGTGGTACCATGTTGGTACAATGATTGGTATTCCTTATCCTAAGCATTATTTGCTGGCTGTTGGTAAAGACATTCAGAACCTTCTAGTTGCAGTTCACAGTCAAAACTGTAAGTGAATTTCCATTCAAGAAATATTAATGAAACATCTAATGTTCTGGTTGGTGTCATGAGTCATTGCCAGCCGAGAATTGCCAATTATTCATTTTCTTGTAGATGTTTCTGCATAAATTCTCACTGCACAATACACAAGATCCATGCCTCAGGATTGTTATGTAATGTATTCTATTTAACCTACTCTGTTGAGCTAGGAATAGACTTTATATTATCTAATTTGTTATTACAAGTACATCACACAAGAGAATAGATATGATAATCTACATGTTTGTTCCTTGCCTGCATCCTAAGCAATTCTACTAAACAGAATTGCTCTATTTAGGCTCATAAAGGAAAATAACAGTGCAGTTTTATTGCAAAAAATGTTACTGGCTGAAGTATGAAAGGAGGCCAGTGTCTCAATAATCAAAAACTGGGTTTTTTACCCTTTGTATGAGATATTGGAGAAAAATGCAAATTATCTAAATGAAGGGCTAATGGCAATCTGATGCTAAACATTTCAAGATAAATGGTATTCCTTTATATATTTCTAGAAAGATGTAATTTTTGATAAGTTTGTTTTAGTATTTTTTAATTTTTTGTAATTAAATTTTTTTGTATTTTGTAATTTGGCACCTACGTTGTTGAATAAACTACAGATGTATATAAAAGTATTCTTACAATATTTTAATGATGCATACAGATATTTGATGGCTAAAAGTGAGCAATATTGAGTTCATTGTGCTGATATTTATTTATTTGATTTGCTTTGTGACCAGTGAGTAGGTGGACAGGCTTTCTGCAAAGATGGCAGATGAAGATGATTATGATGAGGTTGTGGAGGTAAGACTTAAAATGTTTGATTCACTGCCTTGAGGTATGTAGATGAGTTTATTATTTCAAAGAAACAGCAAATAATGGCAGGTCAGGAACTTGAGATGGCTGCTTCAGAAGTGAGTGTGTCTCCAAATTCAGAGCTAATGACCTGGCCAGTTATAGAAATTGATATAGTCTAGATGGCGTCTAGCAGCTGTTGGGTACTCCCGGAGAAAACCTAGGACATGTAAGAGCGCACGATGACCATAATGGCCAGTGATGCCTTTCTTCCTCTCCTCGCCTTCCTTCAGATTTAGTCTTTTATTTTTTAAAAAATAGAAAAATACAATGTAAGTGATGCTGATAATGTTGGTATTCATATGGTTACTTAAAATGTGCAGAATTCTATCTAGTAACAGCTTCCTGACCCACATAGGGCCCTTAAGGAAATCTGTCATAATGAATGAGTTGTCACAGTTGATATCATTGAAGAAAGTTCATAGCTCAGTAGGATCATATATAGTTTATGCGCAAAGATACCAGCCCTGATGTCCAGGCTGGCTGAACAAAATTCCTGTCAGAAATTCTGGAAGGCCCCTACTAGTCAGGGTAAACAGTCCTGGATTAAGCTCTGACTTCATTGGCATTTAAGATACAGCTACTGCTGATAATGTGGGTTATGTTTCCTTGCCAGGCTCCATTCTACCATGCTAGTTCTGCAGGCTGTCAGGAGAAAATCTTGGTTTGTAATTCCATGTGCACATTGATTACAGGACTGGATGGGTTGCACGAGGGTTTCCCACTCTTGGATGATAACATTAAATTCTACTAGAGTAAATCTCTTCAATATCTCTGATGACCAGCATAAATAACTTTTCTTTTATTGCAAAAGCTTTCTTCTTATTCCTCTTCCTCTTCCTCCTCTTCCTCCTCTTCCTCTTCTTATTCTTCACCTTCACCTTCACCTTCACCTTCACCTTCACCTTCATCACCCTAACCCATTGTCTTATCATTGTCTGTCTCTTAGTAGACTAATAATAGTTTTGTCTTTCATAGTATCATTTCAGTTTCACATTGTTGCACTGTCTCTTCAGAAGTCTGTCCTTCCCCTCAATCTGTCTTGGGATATTTGTAGCAGGTGTGAAAAAGGCAAGAATTGCTTCTGATCTTAGTTTTAAGCAAGTTAACTTTTTCCAGAAACATTACAAAAGCTCTCATCTTCCTGATCCCCTTCCACTGATCTTTTGTTCTCATGCTTTAATTCTGTATGAACCAGGAACATATGCAAAGCATTGGAGAGCAAAAGAAATATTCATTTATAAGGAGACAGATTTATGTTTGAAAGTGCATGCAGTAGAGTACTCTTAAAAATAGCTTGGGCTTTTCATTTTGGACATCAGCCTGAATTGTGTGGTACAGAATACTGTAAGTGAGAAGTAGGCTCTGTTTTTCCTTGGTATAATGGCCATATTGCCAATTTTAAGTTGGTCAGTAGGCCACATGGGAAAAATAAATGGTGCTCCCATGTTGCTTCCATGCTATGATGAATATTTTGTCTCTTAGTATCTCTCTCTCTCTCAACACATACAAATACAGAGACACACAGATGTACACACATTTGTATGTATATAATCAAACATAAATATACTTATTTATAAACAGAAATAGCGTTCCTATAGGCAAATGGATGCACACATTCTCTTCCATCTTCTCACCAAAATCTTCTTACATTTTCTTTTATGCTTGTGTTAGTGTATTAGCAGACATATGTATGCTGTTAGTTTTACAAGCATCAGTCCCAGTGGAGAATAGTGAAGAAAAAGTAGAAGGAACATTCTTTCCTGATATTCTTCTCATCAAAAGAGTCAATTGTATATAAAGTTTGAAAAGTAACAGTATCTTGACAAAGTTCTCTGTGGAAACATAAATCAGCTGCAGAGAGCGGTAGTGAACCTGGCTCTGTTGTAGTGTGCAAATCTCTGAGACTTCCTGTTAATGTGATCCGTGGAAATGGAGAGGAACCTTAATGGTGCACTAAATCTGAGAATTTATGTCACTGCTGTGGATCCTATTAAAATGAGCATGATAAATTTTGTAATACCAAGAATATGTGGAATCCAGTAGAACTTATTGGTGGAATACTTGGTTAAAAGTCTAGGCTATTTCCCTTTCAATAAAATGGGTATGATAAAGTCAAACAGTAAAACGAAGATGTGGAAATAAATCATATTCGATTAGTCCATCCCCATCCCACCCGGTCAGGCAGAGAGGGTATGCTGCAGACCCCACTGATGATAGAATGTCGACTGGCGGGATCCAGAAAGAGAGACTTCTCTGCTGTGCCCCCCGCTGTATGGAATACTCTCCCCCCAGAGGTGAGGCAGGCCCCAACTCTCTTGTCCTTTGGAAAACAGTTAAGGCCTGACTCTGCCGAATGGCATGGGGTGAAAAAAGGGGCAACCAACCCTGGGGGTGGCTAGCACCTTGAAGATGC